AGTTTTAAGCCAAAAGTTATTTTGGCTTTGAACAAATTCTTTTGAGGTGATGGCAGATTTTATAAATATATTTTCCTGTGTATTATGGAATCCTGGTATCCTGGTAACCGCAGTGATTATTTTCACTAACTCGAGTGTCTTGAGATGCTCTATGTTGTGTCTTGTCTTGTCCAGGAAGGCAAAATTGCTTTTCTTCAGTTCTTTTCTTTTTGGTTGTACACGAAAATGTGAACTTTCACTCAAGTTTTCACTTGCTGCCTAGCTAACAAGCCATCTCGAGTCTCTGTGGTTCGGATTCCTGAATAATTTGCGTGGGAAAGCAGTAATTAGTCTCGCTGCACGAGGCAAAATGATTCCACAGATTGGAGCGACGAGGGGTTGAGGATTAAACCGGGCTGACCTTAAGCGAGTCGCTTGACTTTGTGCCTCTCGTTTAGCCCAGTGCTAAATAGTTCTAACATAGATGTAGTAAGACTTGGAATTTTTTTAAAAAAGATACTTCAAATAGCGCCGTTGCTGTGTTTTCAATATTTATTTTTTTTTTAAAAAAGGATGCTGTTCTCTCAGGGAGTCGTTCCGTGGTAGGAACAGGCAGCCACGTTACGCCAGCGCCTCGGGGAAGCCAAGACCGTGCCGAATCGTGGCTTTTGCCAAATTTGCTGCTGCCCCCCGAGCGTTGCCGCACGCCGGCGTCGCTTTCCCCATCTGAACGCGGCCGTTTCCCGAGTGCAAATGTCTGACAGGCAGATTATCTGCCCAATGACTCATGTGGGCTTGGTTTATGGAGCGTGATAAACCGGAGGAGGAGGGAGGGGGAAATAATCTGCTACCTCATTAGTACAAGTTCCAAGGGCAAAAAGGCTTGCCCGTGAGTCACGGGTGCTTGGAAATCTCCCTTTTTTTTTTCTGTAGAAAAGCAGAAAGAAGAGCTTCAGGCTTCAGCAGTGGTTTTGAATGGAAGTGCTTAGATATTGTCGCTGAATTTCCAAGCGGTGGAGGCTGCATGTTAGCCAGCAACAGCAGCAATCTAAATATAAACTGCACCCGAGCTGGCGCTGCAGCTCCCGCCTGAGTTTCCAGTTTTCTGCTGGTGCAGAATCCTCTGCCGCAAAAGTCAATAAAGGACGAGCAGATGAGGGCTCCACCTCTTCCAGCAAGTTAAAGTAAGCCAAAGACTGCTTTACTGAGATTTCTGCCATTTAAATTCAAAAGCAAACACAGGCTGGTATTATCAGCTCACACCAGATCTGCCTGCAGACAATAATTCTTCCTGTCTTGGATCCCTGCCCATGTGCATTATTGTAATTATCAGCAATTTAAAAAAAAATAAAGCAATAAAGCTAGGATGAGCTGCTAGTCTGTAGATTTACTGCCTGCTGTGTCAGGCATTCATTAGCCTTCCTGGGTTCAAGCCACCTGAATAAAAAGCCGGAAGAGGAGCGAAGGAAAACAAAGTGCGGAACGCAACTTGAGGCACGAATCACGAGCTCCGCTCGTGTTTACGAGCCATAAAGCCCAAAAGAACGGGGATTTTTAAGCGTTCTGCTCTGAAGTTCTGGTGCGTCAAGCCCCACCGCCAACTTCCCGCGTGTTTTAATTGAAGGGTTGGGTTTGCCACAAACCATTAATTGCCAGGTGAGGTTCAGGGCGACGAACACGAGGTTGAAGGGCTGAGACCTGGGGAGGCTCAGCTCTCCTAACGCCAACCCAGCTCTTCCCCGTCCAAAAGCTTCACCTTAATGCAGTGGTTGGGTTCGTGACTGCAGCGTCTCCTCTATTGATTTGGAGTTTTGTTTCGCCCAAGGGCTGGCCTGTCCTTACGGCAGGAGAAATGCCCGTGGACACGGCTCTGGACACAGCAGTAACATGGTCAAGTACCCGTTTTTCAGCCAAGGAAAAGGTGAAAAATGAGAATATTCACGCATTCTGTGGATATTACACTGGTATGGCAAGAGTTACAGTCCAGATAGAATAGGAAATGTATTCCTTAAAATGAGGAAAAGCTCCTTTCTTTCTGCCTTTAATTAAGTAAAGGTGGGAAGCGTAATTTATTTGTCTGAGTCGGGCCTGTGCTGAACAGCCTGTTCTGGAGTCCCTCAGGTTGTGGTTCACGTGCCTTCTGATTTAAAAAGCAGGATATTTGCGAGGGGCTTCGCTTAATTAATCCCAACAGCCCAAGTACTGCCTGGCATTTTTTTGCCCGCGGAGCAGCAAGCAGTTGTGAATACTTGTAGCTCTTTTGAACGGGAGGTCTCTGGCTGCCAGGTCCATGCAACTCACAATCAGAGGGTTGGTTTTTTTAAAAAAGCTTATGAATTATACAGGCTGGAGTTGCAGTTTGAAAGCAACTTAAGCTTCTCCTTGTATCTGGCCGGGTTGCCCCCCATGTGTTTCGACAGAGGAAGCCTGATGCAAAGCGTAAGTGAAAAGGGGATCTAAGATTTCTCGTTCCGCTCTGGTTTTGCCAGAAGGAAGACTCGTATTCTGGCTGATCTGACCAGATGAGCGAGGTCACTGTGGTGTCTGACCTTGTGGAAAACGCAGAATGCGCTTAAACGGGACGTTTTGCGGATGTTTCTGTCCATAATCTCTGTAGCCTTGCCCGTCCGTCCTTTGAGATGGTCGGTTACTTGCGGGAAGAAGAGGCACGAGAGCCTTTCTGGAGCACAGAGCCTCTGGGTGGGCAAAGCTCACCGATCAAACCCACCGCTGCCAACTCCAAGAGTCTCGCAGTAGATAAAAGACGGGATACTTGGGCAGAGAAGGAGGAAAAGAAGATTTCAAGATTGGAATTCTAGTGTTTCTGGCCCGTAGATCAGGCACTGCGTGACAGGGTGAGGAATTTGACGTGAACTGGCCGGAGATGTAGATGTTTATGGAATCAAACACTTCTTTGGTCTTGGGAAGCACACTGGATGACAGAACTATCCCAAAAGGCAGAGCCAATGTGGCATGAAACGTCTTGTAAATGCACAGGCCGGTGGAGTAACGATTGATGCAAAAGTCTTTTCCCCAATAACATTCTTCTTGCTCTCGTGTTGTGGATAAATATTAAGGGGTGATAGCTACTAAAATAACGTTTGCGGAGGACAACGGGGCAGCCTCTCTGTTCTTGGTGTATCAGAGTTCATTAACTTACTCAACAGCGCAGTTCAAGGAAAGATTTCGTCCATTTGATTAAAAGTGACGAAATCAAGCAAGTCATCAGTCTCGTTTGTTCAGCTGTGAGTTGGGGCTTCGCGTGTTCTGGGAGCTACAGCAACTGCCCTCGACTGATATGCAAACTATGTGAGCAATCCGCTGAGGAGGAGGAGGAATGATACCTTTGCCACAATGCCAAGGTGTCAGAACCGGCAAAAAAAAACACCAGGAGCTCGCATCGGAATGTGAATTGGGGGTGGTGGTGATTTCAGGAGGTTGGTATGTGTTTGAACAGGGAGTTTGCTCCTGCAGGAGCCGTTCGAATGGGATATTTCTGCCTCTGGGGATGGAGCCCGCCCCTCTCCTGCTCCTGCAGTTACCTTATTTTGCGGCGTGCTTGTTAAGTTTTGCTTTGAAGAAACCAGATTTGGAGCGGAGCGCTGCTGACGATCTCCAAACGATCTCTTCTCTTGGGTCGCGCCGCATTCCTCTTGCGAGAGTTCGTGCTTCGTGCGAATCTTGGCCCCGTTGTCGTAAACCAAAATCAATTGTTCCCTTGAACGTGTCAAGTCCTGCGCTCTCTGGAAAGTGGTGGTTTGGTGTTTGTTTGGAGAGAGAGGGAGAACAAGACCCTCTTCCAAAGCTTCTGTGTGTTTATAGGGGGTCATTCTAGGTTTTGCCTTTTCCCCTAAAATCCAGCAGCGAGGAGCAGCCCACAAGGGTTGTCCAGCTGAATTCTCCTCCCTGCTCCTTTAGTTACTTGAAGCGGACACGGATTGATCCGAGTTGATGGGGATTTCAGGCGATAGGGGATGAGCGGTGCCCACAGTGTAACGTGCATTTTTGAGTGCACAGCTGAAGTAAGAAGGTAGGACTGGTGCTGCCTGCCAGGGAAAAAGCAGCTTAGGGGCAGCCCTGAAGCCTCTGTGTCTTGCTGTTTCTAATCTGCCTTGTCTGAAGGAGTTGAAATGGATTTCATTCCCCTAAACACCTTAAAGAGCTTTCCATTTAGGAGTTCATCTGGTTTTTGCCTCGCGCTGCTTGAATTTTTTTATTTATCTTTTACAACAGTTATGTAGGGAGAGGATGTTCAGCTACCAACAGCCGCTCAGACTTTCCAGAAAAAAAAAAAACCAAACAAGGAGTCTGCAATTTAATTTAGTGCCCTTTTTTCTTCTTCTGTTCAGCCAGCAGGATTTCAGGAAGGGAACCTGACCTTGTTTTCATTGATCAGTCTGCAATCTGACCTGAACGTGGGGCTGGGTTGCTGGGTGGGGAGTGCGCAGAATATGCCTCAGAACGGCAGAAGGCTTTGAGGAATTGGTTGAGGAATTGGAGTCATCCTTACCTGTATGTCTGGGCAAGAAGCTTAGGTATTTCTATCCCAAATATTTGAAAGTTTTGGGAGAAACCCTGGGTTTGGGAGAAACTCTGGGATTCTCATGGTGGGAAGCAGTTGCTTTTAGTAGTAGCAATACCTGCTTTGTGTGTAACCTCACAGAGGCGTTTCTGCCAGAAGTTATTAGTGATTTATCCTCAAATATCAAGTTTTTTTCTACCGTCTGTTTTACCTGTGTGGGTGCATCCTTTTAAGTATGAATTATTTTTTTGTTTGGTAAGGTGCTGCTGCAATAATAAAACCAGAGTTTGGAAGAATGAACACCTTGCTGGTGACAACTTGGTGTGGGCTCACCAGCGTTAAGGATTTAGGGTTAGGAAATTAGTTGCAAGACTCCAGTGATAGCTGGATTAAGCATCTCTGAAAAGCTGCCAGAGGGTTTCTGGTTCTTTGGAGTCGTTCTGCTTTTGCTGGGATAATGCAATCAACGGGTTTTGTTTCTGCTTGTCTTCACAGGCGCTCGCGGCCAACGCTGGGACAGGGTTTGCGGTGGCAGAGCCTCAAATTGCCATGTTCTGCGGGAAGCTCAACATGCACGTGAATATCCAGACTGGGAAATGGGAACCCGACACTTCGGGGACTAAGAGCTGCTTTGGAAGCAAAGAAGAGATTCTGCAGTACTGCCAGGAGGTGAGTTTTCCTGTGCCATCCTGACTGGTCGCTGCTCCTAAAGAATCGGATTCCAATTTAGTCTTTAAATGCTCAGGCATATCACAAGAAGTTTATTTTATTATTTTTTTAACGGAAAAGTGATAGAATGCGCTAAGTCTGGGCTGGAAAACTTTAAGAACTGCTCTACAAGGCTGATATGAGTGGGGTTACATTTGGTTCACGTAGTAGAAGCCTAAATATAAGTCAGTGTCTGGACTTGAGAACTCGAGCAGGACATAAGTATCATATTAATGCGTCACAGATGGAGCAGGCACGAGGAAACCTGAGGAGGGAGGTGCACATTAGCTTGACAGGTGACGAGAGAGTCTGAAGATATTGCCGAACCCTCCTGGTTGGTGCTTGCCCTCTTCCAGAGGGTATCGTGCTGCTCGAGGCAGGGCGGGAAATAAGTAATTCTCCCTGACCCTGCGAAGCCAGACACCTCGGCTTAGTGCCGATGAAGGCTCTTGCCCCTGACCTGGCTTCCTCCTGCTGCAAAGAAGCCATGATTGTGTTTCTCCAGCCCTGTGTGACAAACAGCTGGGGGCTTTTTTAGATCTTCAGCTGTTGGGAGCTTGATCCGGAAGAGAACGTGTGTCCATGTGCAAATTCGAACTGGTTCTCGGGTTAGGAGCCGCTTTGCACCTTTTTTTGTCTTTCCTGGAGAGAAACCTCTCTCTCTTTGCATCTCCTCTAACAGATGTACCCAGACCTTCAGATCACGAACGTTGTGGAAGCCAATCAACCCGTCAGCATTGACAGCTGGTGCAAGAGGGGCAAGAAGCAGTGCAAGGACCACACTCACATCGTCGTGCCCTACAAGTGCCTGGGTGAGTGCGGGGTGCGACGTGTTTGGGCACGTCCTGACGCCGTTCCAGGGAGGGTGACTGACTTGACAAGGTGCCTCTCGTATCAGGTTGCCATTTCCACATCCAGCTCCCGCTCGGGCGCTTTTATTTCCGCAAGATGGAACTCCGCTGTTCTCGAGCGGATCGGCAGCTTGATAACAGCTGTGGTGGAATAATGGTGCTTGGCGTGAAAAAGAAATCCCCATTCTCTCTGCGACTGCCATAAAAACTTGTGGGCTATTGTATCCGGGTATCACAAAGACACTGGGATTTAATACTCTGATCCTATTTTTGGGGAGCTTTAATATTTTGTTGCCTTGGAGACTTAAATGCTCGGTGTGTTCAGGCTTCCTGCTTCAGCGTTGGCAAGAGATCTCTATTCTGTTTCCACGACTATATTTAAACTTTCCAGTTTCAAAGCGGCCCCGCTTCTTGCAGCTGTATCCCACGTCCCTGCTTGGAACGGTGCAAGAATATGAGATAAACGGTGATGGATTTCGTGGTGCTTTCCAGAATCTATCCACCCCCTTGAAGCAGGCAACGTGTTTAGCTTGTTTACCTCGTGGCTTTTGTCCCGCAGATTGCGCCTGACGCTGTGCTCAGGCTCAGCTGGCTCAATCTCTTTCCAGTTTATCCACTGGAAAAGACTCGTTTTGTAAGGAGTCTTGTGCAACCTCGGAGAGTCTGACTGCTGGGAGTGTTCGGGAGGGAGCCAGTTTCCATAATTTGTAACCCAAAGTCAGGTGGTTTGAAGCAGAGCACAAGCGAATCTGCAGAGCCGTGTGGGTATTGGAACACCCCCCACTAGATGGGCATAGAGCACTTTGAAAGAAACGCAATTGGGTGCAGACTCATCCTGTATCTCTTGGAGATGTGGAAATTCAGGTTTGAGAAGCGACCAAACCCAGTTGATGATACTGAGAACAACCAGCGGAAATAAGGCTGAAAGCAAGATCTCCGGATTTATGAGACGGCGTCTCCGTTAGAAATAATCCTCCTCCAAGCCTATTCTCCAGCAGAAAAATAAGCTGATTTTAGTGACATTGCCCTAAAATTTGATAGGCATTAAACTGTCTGCTCAAGTATTTAATTAGTGTCTTTCGCAGCGTTCTCAGCTCGTTCTGCCCGGCCTGCAAGGCAGCTTTGGTTTTGCATCTGAGTTGCAAGTCAGTAGTCCAGAGGTGCATAAAATTACTTTTTTGTTGCCTTTAGCAGTCCACAAATTGCCCTTTGCAAACAGACTGTGTGTTTCTCTGGGGTGTGCATGACTTTTTGATTATTTTGAGGTGTTTTTTCCTCCACTCCTGCTTGTCTTCCTTGCTCCATTAACGCCCAGACTGTCTGGAAGCAGGATCTTACCAGGGGTAACCTTCGTCTGCCTCCCCTCACCAAGGAAAGCTCTTTTGTATTTCAAAGGTGAAGAGGAGAGAGAACCCATTAGCGCTCTCACCGAACTGTAAAATCGAGGCAACAGTGGGGTGAGGGGAGCGGGGCTGAGCCTGGCGAGGTGTGAAAAAACGAGCTGTGAGGTGGTGCAGAAACTCTGAAAAGGGAGAGGGTTTTTCTCTCTTTGATAGCAGCGCCCACCGCTGGGGCAGGTGTCCGTCATGTGTTTTCCGATCCCTGGGTGAACGGGAGAATCTTCTGCACGTTGTTCCTCACAGCCACGGTTTCCTATTTTTAAAGTTTTACCTTAAACTAAGTGAAAAGGGATGATGAGCACTGATTTCATTATCAGAGAGTAATAATTCCCACACTTCTGGTGCTTCCTTCATGTGTGTCGATGCCAAAGCGAGCCGTGGTGGAAATTTAGGCCGAATAGCTTTGAAGTCCAACTAATACAGAATCTGCAAAGCGGACTGATTCTCTCCCACCTTCCTCAAAAGCCAAACTCTGGCTTTAAGGCTGTGCCAAAACTTCATCGTGCTGTTGAGGTCGTGGTTATCTACATGTTGGAATGCAGTGTATCTGCTGACTCTGGCTGCACTCGGGGTTTTGGGCGGCGTAGTTTTTATTTTTCCAGTCCTCTGTGTTTTGGTTAGGACTTCCCCGAGTCAGGGAATGTGCTGCAGTTGATCTTGACTTAAACCAGCTGGAAACTGTTGAAAACAAAACCAAACAAGACTCGCTCAGATACCCAGACAGACGACACTCGTGGCACGTCAGAATTTCCGGGCCCAGACAGCATGAACTAGCTTCGCTGTGGTGCGCCTCCTTTTTAGAGTTTGGCTCTGGTCGAGGCTTTGCCTTCTGTTGGAAGTTGGACATGTGTGAACTGGTTTTGCTTCTTGTTTTTTTTCCAGTGGGAGAATTCGTAAGCGATGTCCTGCTGGTTCCAGAGAAGTGCCAGTTCTTACACAAGGAGCGCATGGACGTGTGTGAAAGCCACCAGCACTGGCACACCGTGGCAAAAGAGGTAACGGAGCGGCTGTGGCAGGAGGGTTTGTTCTGCATCTGTCTGCCTGGACGCTCGCAGTATCGGAGCGTGACGGTGTTCATCTCCGCGCTCTGTCGTTCCCGTGGACCAAGGCAGAGAACAATGAAAAAAAGTAGTCGACTGACTTAAAAATCCGATGTAGTTAGCCAAGTTCTTCTTGGAAAAGCTGTCAAACGTAGCTTGCCCGAGATCATACTCTAGGAGAGATCTAGGAATTGAAATCGTGTCTCCAGGATATTGCTGTAACCTGTGGCTCATCCTTCTTTCCAGGGCAGAGCGATCATAGAGTGGTTCCTGTTTTTCCTGCGTGTGTTGCATTCACGCACCTGCTGCTGCTGGGGATTTGGTTGGCAGCGCTTGCTTGGGGACAGGCTGAGTTTGGTTGTGACTGATTAGTGGAGGTTTTACGTAAGAGGTGGATTATCTTCTCAGAGTAAATCTAGCCCATGGGGTTTTCGTGGTTTGGGCTTTTTTTTTTTTTTGTTTCATCTGACTGGCAAAAATGCTGCAAAATCTCTGCGCGCCCATTTGCACCAGGGGTGATAGAAACAAGATCGTGACAAAACGTACATGTTTTCCATTTTGTAGACGGAGCCGTTGTAGACGGAGCCAACACAGTGATTAGTTGTAACCGTGCTAGTAAATACGAGGTTAAGGAGATGCACCACTTAAACTTGCTATTTCTTTAGAACACCACGAGCCAAAACCCATCCGAATAAAGCTGTGCTAGAGGAATCGCCTTTTAATTGAGGATAAACTCGTTAACATCAAGTATATTTAAAAATCACTTGCTTTCAATGTTGTTGGAGAAGTTTTCCAGAAATATTTGGCTCGTTTTACATCCATACCCTAACAAAGCAAAGCACGGAAGGGTTCTGGTGTAAATAATAATGCCTTTCTTCATTTTTTCTCTGGGCCACCACAAAGTTCTGTATTTCCTTAGCTTAAGACAAGTGTATAGACATGATGTCTCATCACGGTTTCAACCTGGCTTTTTCTTGAATTATCCGATTGATTTTCATCTACGGCACGTTGAAGTAATCTTGACACAGAACCCGTTTGAGCGATTATTCACTTAACTCCAATGGGAAGTTTAACAGATAAAGTTGAATGAGATGACTGGCCCGGAAGAGCAAACTGCTTTTCTTTGAAGTGCTCTCTCCCTTGAGTTGGCACAAAACGTCTCGTTATTTTTCCTGACTTTTGTCGTCTCTTTGTTGTAAAATTCAGACGGTTGGTAGCGTTCTTGGGACGTAGGGTAGGCAGACTCGATCCGAAGCGTGAGCGTGCTGCTAACCTTGACGTAACGGGGCTCCTCTTCCAGGCTTGCCTGACGGAAGGGATGATCCTGCACAGTTACGGCATGCTGCTGCCCTGCGGCGTAGACCAGTTCCACGGGACAGAATACGTCTGTTGTCCTCAGACGAAGGTGGTGGATGAGGCTCTGTCCAAAGAGGAAGAGGATGAAGATGAGGATGAAGACTATGACCTTTATAAAAGGTAAGGTTCTGGATGGTAACAGGGAGGGGATCACTGGATGTGAATATTTCGCACAGTCACTCCCATGTGGTGAGGGTGGAGAGGGGGATTTCTGTGCTTTGGAATTTCCCAGCGGGGAGTGTCTCGAGCCTAAAAAAAGCCTTGCAGGAGGACAAGGTGACTTTGCAGCGCTCCTGTTACTGGAGAGGCCAGGCAGCCCCTCTCCCTTCATCCTTAGCCAGTTAAAAAGACTCATCGCTACAGTAGATACCTCCCCCAGTGGTCTGTTCACTTACTGAAGAGAAGCTGGTAAGGAAATAGAAACCCCCCAGGCAGGGAGGAGCCTAGGGGGCTGGTCTGTAAGGAGGGAGGTCCGGTTGCTGCGGCAGACGGGCTGATCAGTAGTTGGTACATTTATTTTTCTTGTGTTTCTACAGCAGATAAGAGAATTAACCTTAACTGCCCCTCCCTAACTTCCCTGTTTCCCTTCAGCGAGTTCCCTACAGAGGCAGGCGTGGAAGACTTCACAGGAACAGCTGTGGAGGAAGACGAGGACGAAGAAGACGAAGGCGAAGAGGAGGAGGAGGAGGTAGTAGAAGACCGTGATTACTATTACGACAGCTACAAAGTCGATGATTACAACGAGGAGACCCCCACGGAGCCTAGCAACGACAAGGCACTGCCTGAAAAAGAAGTCAGCAGCGATATGAAATGTAAGACACGTCCTAACCTACGGGCCTCTCGCTTCCTCGAGAGCGTTCCCGTTGGCTGTCAAGCTGGCGATGGCTTTTTGATCAAGTCAATAAATGTCGCTTGGAAGTTTTTATTTGCCAGATAAGTTAGCAAATAGAGGAGGGCTGATGATGCTTGTGTTTCAAGTGTTGAAATGAACTCTCTAGAGCGTTTGCCATATGTTTCCAGATAAACAGCAGTTCCGCTGGCAGAAAGCCCGGCCTTGGGCGCGTCGAATAAGCACCTCCGCGAAGGTGCAGCGTCGAGTCGGAAAACCGTCTCCGCATCGGCTAATTTTGAAAAGTCCTTAGAGGTGTTTGGGGTACGCCAGGGATTCAAAAACCGTAGCTTTGGGCCGTTACCTTGGATTTGGTGTTTTAAACCCAGTTTACGACATCTAAAAGCAGATGGGCCGCGCTCCGCAGAGGTGGCATAAAGGTGCCGCCTGACTGGTTTTACTATATGAGTAAAAGATAGTTAATGCAGTAGTAATATATGCTGTGCTCTGCAGTCGGTGCCGTTGCAGAGGGCAGCTGCTGAATGCCTGGTGCCTCGGCGTTACACGACGTCCTACACTTTTGCGTGTAGAAGCGTCTGCAGAGGAAGGAGGAGGGGAGAGGGAATAAAATTCAATTAGCTACAGATCACTGAATCACTGCCAGCAGTTCTTGCATCTTTTTGGGAAGATGCCAGCATGCTGCAGATAATTTTCCTTGCTGAAACAAGGCTTAGCTCATACATGCACAAGACTGTTACAAAGCTGCAGATGTTGAAACAGAATTGGAACAATGGTATGGGGGTTTGCAGTGGTTTGGGGTTTTTTTGCCCCCCCAAAGAACACTTGCAGACTTACAGACTGTATCTGTTCTCTCCCCTCAGAGTAACCCAGCGGCTTAGGCTGCCCGCTTATCGTTGAAGCGGTTCACGTGCCGTGGCTGCCTGGAGTTTGAATATTTATTTCAATATTTAACGTAGACCTGTTTGAAAACTTAAAACCCCCGCAGCTGAGATTGCCACGGCAATCCCGTTCCTTTTGCTCAGCCTGCCTTTGCACTTGCTCTCACACCTTTAAGATGCAAAGTGTCTGCCCAGGCAGAGCTGCAGCAGCACAGAACGTCTTTGCTTTAAGGGTTTTCTTTCCAGCACGTTGGTTTGATACCGAGAGCTCTACAGCTGGGACACCTGAGGCGTAACGCCGCGCCGTCGGCCGTATAGATCCTCGCTGTTTGGGCTTCTAGCTAAGGAGAAGTCGCTCTTGGGGGTGAAGGTGTTGAAGTAGTCGTAAGCTGCTCGGCCAGGCCTGTGTGCTCCTCACCAGCTGATGTTCTAACCCATCTCCACACAGCTGTCTGCTCCCAGGAGGCGATGACAGGGCCCTGCCGGGCTGTGATGCCTCGTTGGTACTTCGATCCTAACAAGAGAAAATGCGTTCGCTTTATATATGGAGGCTGCGGAGGCAACAGGAACAATTTTGAGTCAGAGGAGTATTGTATGGCTGTGTGTAAAAAGATGAGTAAGTCCTGCCTCCCACTGGCCCTTTCGGAGCTAGCCTCTGTCTGTCTGCCGTTCGGTGTCTCCTCCTCCTTGCCTAGGTCAAGAGAGGATACGTCTGTAGCTCGTCCTTTTGGTTCTGGTGTCCGCAGCAGCTCTGTCTGTCCTTCCGCAGCAGTCCCCTCTCGTCTCTGCTTCTCTTCAGGGTGAGCTTTCCTGGGGAAAGTGGTTCTCGACGTCCGCTCTCTGTGCTCACCGTCCGCTTGCAGCTCTTGCGAAGGGCTTAGGTGGCCTCTCGGAAATCTATAGCGGGGACCAGGGGCTCTCTCTAACTTCTTGTGGGAACACGTAGCTGGCCTGTTTGCATAACTGGGTTTATCGTTTTTTTTCCAAAAAAAAATGTATGAAAGGAAGCGCTCGCTTTCCCCAGTCTCGTTATCGTGCATATGTTTGACCAGGCGGTCATGAAAAGTAGGCAGCTCCTCTCCATTCTCCTGGTAGTGGGCCTTCTCTTGCTGTTGGATTTTGGGAAAATAGCGGAGAGGTAGTACAGGATTCAGATTCCCCCTTCTAGCTCCGTTTGCAATATGAATCATGACTCAATTCCTGCATTTTTGAGGGTTCAGGCACCGATTTCAACTGGCTTTTATGTCAGATGCTAAAACTACCCAAAACCATTTTAACCTCCTTATTAATCTTATTGTTGAACTCCAGCACTTCCACTTCAGCTGCCATTAAAGCCCTTTGAAAGGCTTTTTGTGTTGTCTGGGGCTTGGCAGCCTGACTATGCAGCCATAATCCTGTTTACAAAATGGGCTTCATGCAAGTGCTTTAGATTGGGCTGATCTGACTGAAGTGCTGAAATAAAAGATGCGGATGTCAGGAGCTTTTTGTACAAAAGTTGGTCCTGTTAGAGAGGGATTTGGGGCTGGAAAGAGAGTTCTCTGTGGCCAAGCCTGGTTCAGAAATGCCAAGAGCAGGCCCGGAGTACAGGCACGATCTCACGTCGTCCCTCGCGTGCAGACATCCGTTCCCTTTCTTTGCTTCTCCTAGTTAGAGTAAGATTTGTGGATTCAGGTGCCTGCTAAACTGCAAGATATATTTGGGTTTTTTCCCCTACTCAGGTTAGTCAAAATGATTGAAAGGTCACCTTAACTTGCCCTTTCTGCCCACTCTCTCCTAAAGGGCATCAATTTTGCCGTAGATCCTTTTTGGGAAAGGGCTCTGGGTTGTGTAGTTTGTAAAACCGCAGCGCAGAAACGCGGTTGGCTGTCTCCTCCTGAACCGCAGCGTGTGGAGCACAGAGCCCCCGCCGTGGGTTTTGCAGCTGTTTGGAATTGTCGGGTTTGAAATTATATTTCTCCCCTTGTCGGAGTTGACTGTCTGAAAGATACAACCCGTCCAGGTTATTGGCCGAGTCGATTTGTCACACTGAGCCTCCGTCTGTTGCTGTCTTGTCTAATACCATTGCCTGTTAGTCCTGCATGGTGCATCTGGTAGGGAAGGTAGGTCTGAAGTGTAAAATCTTGGGGAGTGTTTTGTGCAGATTTATTGTCGAGCTCCCTAATCGTATTAATGATGTCTGGAGCCAGCTTGTCAGCCAACAGCTCATGCACAAAATGTCATTTAAACTAGCCAAAGCGAAAGGGAAGAGAAAACGAGCTCTTTTCTCGGGCGATCCAAGTCGTTCTGTCGCTGGAGCTGAATAACGCTCGTTTGAGAACGGAACGAGAAGCCCGAACAGGTGCTGGTTGCCGCAGTGTTTTGCGGATGAGGTAACCGGCTGATGTTGCGCAGTAAATTGGCAGCTTAGGGAGACCAAAACAGTCTCGTGGTAGGTGGCAGTTCAGCAAACTCGGCCTGCCGAGGTGGGTTTGTTAATTCTGCCGGCGAGGACATGCCTCCCCCTACCTGTCCTTGGCACTCCGGGCTCACGGCGTTCTGAGCCTCCGCTTACCCTCGCCCTCTCCTCGCAGTGCCCACGGACGACGTGGATGTCTACTTCGAGACCCCGGCTGACGACAACGAGCACGCCCGCTTCCAGAAGGCGAAGGAGCAGCTGGAGGTCAGGCACCACAACCGCATGGACCGGGTGAGCATCTGGCTTTGGTCTCGCCTTGCCGCGCTGCGGAGTCGCCGCTCGTGGTTTTCTGGACAAATTGGCGGTGGGCCCGTTTCCTTTCCAGTCACTGTGTGTTTTTAGTGATGTGACCGTGCTGCAGCGGCTAGATTTTCATTTCTTCAGGCTTCAGGAGAGAGGGATCGCTGGAGACACTTGACTTGCTGCTCGGAGGGCTTAAACGCTGGGTTTAAAGCCCTCTCTTGTGTCAGGGCTGTACAAGGACCTGCCTGTGAAGGCAAATGAGCTCGCAAAGATCGGCCGTCGATTTGTGTCTTGTTGATGTGTTCTGTCCTTTCCTTGCCCAGGTGAAAAAGGAATGGGAGGAAGCAGAACACCAAGCCGTGAATCTCCCCAAGGCAGAAAGACAGACTCTCATTCAGGTAAGAGTTGAAGGACCTCAAGTTAGTGGTGCTCGGCCGCCTCCTTCTCATGAAACCAAACGAGAGATGCTGATATTTAAAGCCAAACGATGACTGAGACGGAAGAACAGCTTTCCTGTTCTCTCGACAGCTGCCTTTTTGAGGAGCTTCGATTCAATTGCGTGCTTTGTTCGTAAAGCTGGAGATGATCCGACGCTGTGCCAGGTCCTTTCCTAAACCCAGTCGGAGGAAGCCATCTCACCCCTCGAGTGTAGCCAGGGCAGAGCCAAAATGTAACTTCAGACCTTTGGCCGGTTTCACGTGAACCGGTGGCCTCGCCGCCGAGTTCCAATTGGCCCTGACACTGGACACACATTTCCTCTTTGGGCAGACTTAGTGAAAACCACTTAGACAGCAGATAAAGCTGGTTTGCTGCCAAAATGCCAATCTCCTGCCTTATGAGGAGAGTTCAGTTAGACTGTGAAGTTAATCAGGGATATTCTCAGTACGGGTTTGTCAGGGGCAGGCTCTTCTGGCAGTGACGACTGTATGAAGTTCAAACCAACATACAACTAAGTGACTGACTCCAGCTTTTAAGCCCGCTTTGGATTTTGTCCTAGAACACAGTTTTCTCTCTGCATTTTTTAACGTAAGCCTCTGTAAGTCCAAAAGAGTTTTCCATCATCTCCGCTGAAATATCAAAATGCTTAATGGGACTTGCCTGGCTCGTTTGGAGATGTGGGTTGTGACTTTCCTAATAGAGTATAAAGAGATTTGATCTGCAGGCATGCCGCAAAAAAAATCCCCTACGTGATACTGCAGTAAACTTTTGCAAATTCACCTTAATGGCTTTGAGCTGAAGGGATTGACCCTGTTTTGATATCGCA